AAAATCTTTTTTTTCCATCGTTTTTGCTCAAATTTTTGTGGTAATTAATCGAAAAAAATTAATTTTATAATTTTTGCGATGTTTTATTGCTTTTGCGAACAATTTTCGAAAGAAAATAACTCAATTTGGGCCAATTTTTGGGATTTTTGAATTTTTGTGTGTAAATCACTAAATTGTGATTGTTTCCTTCATTCAATGATCTATAAAATTATGAAAAAATGAGAAAAAATTCAATTACCACGAAAATTGAGAAAAAAAACGAAAAATTGGGAAAAAAAAGGGAAAATTGGGAAAAACCGAAGGAATATTGAGAAACAGAAGAAAATGAAATAGAATTGAGAAGAAAAGCAATTGAGAAAAATTGGTAGAGGAAAGTATCGACTGAGTTTTAAAACATAAATTAAGCATTAAAGTCCTGTGTTTGTAAAACTTGTCAAGATTATTTTACAGTTCTTCGTTGTATCCTTTCCTGAAGTTTCGGGACTCAAAAATTCAAAAAAAACTAATGAATTTCAGCACAGAACAATTTCCACAATTTTTTTTCATGATGAGGGAAAAATATGACACAAAATCAAATAGAACAATGTGACAATGAGAAGTGAAAATTTTCTGTCGTATTTTTAAAAATTCAAAAATATTGAAGATTCTGAGTTCTGGATTTCAAGTTCTGAATTCTACATTCTGAAATTCTCAGACTCTGAAGTTCCGAAATTCTCAGATTCCGAAATACTGAAATTTCAAATGTTCTGAAATTCTAAGAATTCTGAGATTTTCAAGCACTGAAATTCAGGAATTCAGAAACTCCCTCAAAAAGAACTGTACCCCCGAATCACAAGCGTTGTACCCCTGAATGAAATGAGTTGTACCCCGAATTTTTGGCAGAAATTCTACCCAGTTGACCCTCCGAAATAACACCATTGATAGTCTGTAATTGTGTTTGTTTTCCTCAAAAAACTACAAAAAAGAAGTAAAAACAAAAATTCATCATGTTCAGAATCATATACTCAAATTGATCTCAATGACCCCTATGAGACTATCAATGCCCCCTGGGAGCATTTGGTCCGATGCCCCCTATGAGACATGGTGGGATGCCCCCTAAGAGACAACTTCAGGATGCTCCCTATGAGTTAGTGACCCCTAAGAGTGTATGCCCCCTTTGAGCACGATGCCTCCTATTTCGATGCCCCCTGAGAGTATGGGCCATATTTATATGATATCTACAAAAAATAATTAAATCTATATAATAATCATTCAGGAATCTCTTCCGAACAAGGTTTGTTTATTCAGTTCTCAGGCGTTTGTTCATTTCGGGCACTTCCCTGTTTCCCCTTTTCTCTTCCCTCTTTTTTTCGTTTCTCTTTTCCCACATCCACCACTTTCCCCCCGTATTTCTTTTTCTCATTCAACCAAAATCACTTTTCCGTTCTCCTCTCGATTTCCTACGCCTCATCCTAGCGCTGCGCCAGACTTTCACAGATTTGTTGAAATCAGTGCATCGGTGGTTCATTGGATTGTACCATACGGGCTGCCCAAGATCAATTTGCGGTCAAAGCATCACATTGAATTTCCCAAAATCCTCTTCCCAAAAGTCCCACCACATTTCTATCGTTATTTTCAAGGGATGTAGAACACTTTAAATATTTTCTTTTTCAGCTTCAAGATCTACTCACAAAAGCGGAACAAGTCTTGCATCCTTCGAATGTTTATGTGGCTAGACTCCGAACAGCTCTATTCCATGTCACTGGAAATCTCACTATTGATAATTTATCTACTATGCACACCCAAATTTACAACAATTATAAAATGTGCTTCCCAAAGGCAGACCGTCATGTCGGTTTTCAACTTCTCCATATCGTCAAAGCTCTAGTTGAAAAAGATGAACGTGATGAAGCCATGCCATATGCATTCGATGCAATGAATATTTTTGAAGTCTGCTTTGGATTGGATCATCCTTACTATCTTCAGACTTTGGCATTGTGGACATATTTAGAGAAAAAGGTAAGCCTTTTAGCAACATAATTTTTTCATAATGGGGTTATTCAGGGTGTCGGCAAAAAATGAAAAAAAAACTCCGCGAAAACCCGGAGAGTGTTCCAATCTGGTTGAAACTTTGGGGAAAACTGGAGAAAACTATAGGAAA